AACACACAATGGACGATATAAAATAAAAATACCATTCTCTTGATTTTGTATCGATATTAGAAGGATTATATATATGGTTTATATATGTATAATATAACGAATTATCCCCGTAGCCAAAAATTCAACGTGCACACAGCAATTAATTTTAATGTCCTTTTCTTTCTTTATTTCTTTCTTTCTTTCTTTCTTTCTTTCTTTCTTTCTTTCTTTCTTTCTTTCCAAGACCCTCCCTGTTTGCCCTTAATTTTTACTGCTGTGTTTCTTCCATAATTTTATCTATCCCCATCCCTACTTCCTCCTCCCCCTCCTTTATTTTCTTTACCTCTTACTCTTTTTCTCGTCTCCATTATTCATCGTTATAACCAAGATCTTTCTATTCCTACTTGTATCTCCGTTTTCCTTTTTTCAACCATCTTCCTAACCCCACTCCCTTCAAACTCATCTATTCTTTAACGACAAGTGAAAGACTGCAGGAATTTTCTTTCCGCTGCTTTCTCCTATCAGATCCAAACGTCTTTGTCACATACTCTAATTACCAGACAAATAAAGAATGAATTACACACGATACCTGACTTACTAAAGAGATGGCAAACCTGCCATGCCAACCATCACCCTTAGCTGCAAGCTTTTTTCTATGCAACATTCACTTTAACCCAAAACTTAAGCTTCTTCTCCATTTTTAACTTCCTTTCCCTACCTACTATTACTATCGCCCCACTAAGCCCTCCGACATCCAATTAACATGTAAGTCTTTTGGTGTTCTATGGTGACAAGTTAAAGTAGATGAAGGTAAAGAAGCAGCACGAACCTCCTGCCTCTCTTCTCGTCAATCTTAGTCTTCTGTCTTGGTTAGAGTGATGAGTGTTAGAGGCGGGAATTTGGAATCACATTTTACGAACCAAATCTCCTGATGATTTTTCAACGTTGTTTATTGTTTGGGTAACCTAAACAAGCCATTGAAACGTTGAAGAAGTATGAGATTGAAGCTCTTCTGCTATAAATGACAAGGAATTCTTATCAGTAAGACTTTTAGAGAAACATCTTCTGCTACAGTTGAAAATTAAAATCTCTACTTTAAGATATTTATATATTTTCCACATTAAACCCTATCTTCATATTTGTAAATTGAATTGTATTTTCTCATTGAATTTCTGGTGTGTGGCTCTATCATTAAGATTAATGTCCTCACCTCACTGTAATTATTACCACAAACGTTTCACTTCAGTCGTTACGTCCTCCGGCCTTCTTCAAATATCTGTACAAACGCTTTAATCCATTAGGGTCCTATCCTGTGGTTCGTTAATTTGATGGTACAGTAATTGTGAATTCAATTCCTGGGTTGGGTAGTACATATTTTAACTCAGTAGAAACACGGCGAGCAATACTAAAAAGTAGTTCTTTTTAGTATTGCGTGTCTTTTTAGTACGTGTAGACATAAACGGCGGAACGAGATTATGAATGTTACTTGGATCGTGAGACACCTGAAGAAAGTCGAAGGGTGTGACGGCCAAAATGTTATGATGAGGATAACAAAGATGAGGATATTAGTTCGAGTGTAAATAATGTAAATAAACAGTATTTAAGGATGCATTGTTTCGGTACGATAATAATTCAATTGTCACACATAGAATCCCTCTGTGTTTGCGTGTGTCTGTGCCTCGTTCGCTTTCTCTGTGTTTCTCTCTGTTTATCTCTCTCTCTTTCTGTATCCCAGTCGCTATCTGTCTGTCTGTCTCTCTCCCTCTCTGGTAAATAATAACAAATATAACAAAATGCTAAGGGCTCTGCATTTCGGAGAATTCAGAAACAAAAGAAAGGGAAGAAAAGAAAAGAGAAGTGGATGAAGAAATATAAGAATAATAGGAGGAAAGGGAGATGGTAAGAGACTAGAATGACAGAGAATTGGAAAGAGAGGACGTGTGGGAGAATGCAAATAAAATCAGAACTAGTTGAGATTAAAACTTTTTTCACAACTTCACTGCCAATAACTAAACAGATCTCCACGCCGTTTGTTTCGCCAGTCGCCAAGAATTGGGCTTACGAACAATGGCTTTAGTTATCTGCACGCTGATCACTCTACTGCTACTATTATTGCTACGTGCTTCTTCGAGTGGAAGAGAAATTAACGAAAAAAGTAGGAAACAAAAAAATTCCAAAATATCCAGAAAAATTCCTTTTTATGGATTGTCATGAGCTCTTTACTACTTCGAGATTGAGATGAAAACAATGTGTTATGGGCTACGATAGTTTTATTTTATGTTTGTTTTATGGCGTTTGCATTTGGCTGCCTCAACAACCGGCAGCGGAAATGACCATTCTCTTTGAGTTATGAGGTTATACTTACTCACCCCTAGCCAGAAAATGTCGGTGTCAACGCCCACTCAATATTTTTACATGACTTTTACCAGTGGCATTTTTTTTTTTTGACTAATATTCACTTAATACAAGACCCTATAGCTACTCAAGGTAGAGTCTTACTGTGTGGAGTTATATTGGCGGAAGAAAAATCAAGGGTTAAGTGTATAGAGCTGAAATATAATTTGTTAGGAACAGCAAACCCAATCCTGAACAGGAAATAAGGGATAAATATCTATTCCTGTTTAAAAGGAGTGTGAACCGGACGATAAGCGAACCTATCTATTCTCATTGGTGGAGGAGAGAAAAATATAATGAAATAAATAGTGAATAAAACGTTAGAAGTCTCTGGAAAAAAATACGGAAACCCAATACTAAACAATAAGCAAAGGATAAACGATTTTCGGCTGATGGTGATGTGGTCGATCTGGTTTTCGGTCTTTCTGTCAGGTGAAATCCAGCTGGTCTTGTGGATGGTCTTGTGGGGAAAGATGGTACATTCATCTTTCCCATGAGGATCTTCAGATTTTCTTTTTGGTACTTTGTCCACGATGGCTTGGACTTGCTCGTAGAAAGTCTTTTTATCTTCCATCTTCCATGCGACATTTGTTGGAGAAAAGCACTGTAGGATTGTGAATTTCCTGCCTTTGGAGTTGAACTTTGCTGTCAGGATCCGTGATGATACCGGTTCCCAAAAGAGCAGAGCTCGCGTTGCTTCGGGGTTCATCAGCAGCGCTATTCTGTGTGTGGGACTGACCTTCTTCATGTCCAGAGTAGATGATGGTGTCTTCACTCGATAGTCTTGTTCTCCCAGTTCCGTTCCATCTTGTGTCACACAGCCCAAGGATATTCAATTTGTACCTGTTCATTTCTCTGCAAACCTGTGTTATTTTGCTGGTCTCGTATAGGGTCCAGGTCCCTTATCCTTGCTTGTTGACTTAATCGTCAGATATGTTGTCGGCGCCTTTCCGGTGGATTTCATCAGCACGTATCATCCGCTCCACTTTGGAGGACTCTTGCTCGGCCATGTCGTTGTTTGAAGATATGGTTGTGGTTTCTGTAACATGTCAGTTTTTAAGTGAGTAGGTTGTTAGCCCAAGGTGGAGGACCAGGGTTTGTCTTTCACCTGGATTTCGCCTAACGGAAAGACCGAGAACCAGACCGACCACATCACCATCAGCCAAAAAAGAAGGAGCTTACATGACGTCAAGGTGAAGCGGGGGAATAGACGCAGCATCAGATCACAGCCTCATTGTTGCCGTCCTCAAGACCAAGCTGAGAGCCTACAACGACCGGGCTGGAAGACCATCGCACAATTTCAACGTGAAGAGCCAGAGAAAGAAAAAGAGGGGGAACAGAAGAAGAATTCAAGCTGGAACTGAGAAACAAGTTTAGTCTGCTTTCCCAGTTGCCAGAAGAAACAATAGAAGAACAGTGGCACGGCCTGCGCGATACTTGAAAGACAACACATGCCAAACAGTCCTGGGGCGGGGGGAACAAGGAAACATAAGGAGTGGTTGACAACAGAAACATGGGCATTGATCGCCGAGAGAAAAGAACATAAAGACCAGATCAACCACACCCACGACCTAGAAGAAAAGCAGGAATTGCAATCACGTTACTGCAAGAAGTACCGGAATGTGAAGAGAAGTGCGAGAAAAGACAAGAGAAAATTCATTGATGACCTTATCCAGGAAGAAGCAGAGACTGCAGCGAACCAAGGCTGCATGGAATCACAAAGACTCTCTCTAGGAAAAATAGTAAACCCAGTTGTCCCGTCAAAGACCAGAATGGCAGTACTATATTGGTGAGGGGTAGAGAAACAGAGAGGAAGATGCCCGGAATACTTCAATGAAACACTCATCAGACACACACCATCCGTTCCACCAGACATTTCACCACCTATCAAGCTTCTCAACATTAACACTATCCTCCTACCAAGAATGAGATCAACAAGGCCATGAAGTCTATTAAGTTAGGTAAAGCAGCGGTCCCTGACGGTATACCACCTGAATGTTTGAAGTCAGACATCCAGTCTTCAATTGACATGCTGAACCCACTCCTGCATGAGATCTAGGAGCAAGAAAGACTACTTGAAGAGGGAAAGAAAGGTCAACTTGTGAAGCTGCCGAAGAAAGGAGACCTGTCATCCTGCAACAACTGGAGAGGGATTATGCTGCTGTCCATCCCAGGGAAAGTACTGACAAATATCATCCTAGAGAGACTGAAGACGGCATTGCACAAGACATTTCAGGAAGAACAGGCAGGCTTTCAGCAAGAAAGATCATGCACAAACCACATCGCCACAATGCGCATCATCATCGAACAGTCTCTGGAATGGCAGACCCCCGTGTGCTCAGTCTTCGTCGACTTCCAGAAAGCTTTTGATAGTGTCGACAGAGACGTCATCTGGAGACTGATGCAGCACTACGGTTTTCCGCCAAAGTTCGTCACTATCATCCAACAACTGCATGAAGATGCCACCTGTCAAGTCATCCATGATGGAAACCTGACGGAACCATTCTCAGTGCAAACCGGCATTCGTTAGGGATGCCTTCTGTCACCGACGATCTTCCTGTTGGTGGTTGAGTGGATAATGCGGTAGGCCACGGCAGGCAGGCAGAACTGGTTTACAGTGGACCTTCATGGATCAGCCGGAAGATCTGGACTTCGCAGACGACATCAGCCTTCTCTCCGACAAACAACAATATGCACAGGAGAAGCTGAGTCGTGTTGCAGAAGAAGCGAAGACTGGCCTCCAAGTCAACATCGGTAAAACGGAGGTCATGAGGATAAACAATAGACAAAACGCAGAGCGACTACACCAAGAAGACATCAAGGAAGTCGATAAGTTTGTCCAAATGGGGAGCGTCGTCAGTAAAGATAATGGGGGACAGATGAAGACATCAAGTGCCGAATCAACAAAGCCCGGCACGTTTTCAACACTCTGTGGCCAATCTGGAGATCAACAACCCTCTCACTTTGCAACAAAATCCGGATCTTCAACATCAACGTCAAGTCGGTCCTAATCTACGACTCAGAATGCTGGCGGGTAACCAAGACTAACACTCACAAACTTCAGACATTTACCAACCGGTGTTTCAGGAACACCCTTAAAATCAGGTGGCCGGAAGTCGTCTCCAACGACCAACTGTAGGACAGGACATCAAGAGACGGAAATGAGGATGGATCGGTACACACTCCGCAAGCCTGCTTCTAGTGTCACCAGGCAAAATTTTGACTGAAATTCACAAGGGAAACGAAAAGTGGGTCGACAAAAAAAAAGACTTGTCGCAGAAGTGATGACACAGAGGTGAAGGCAGCCGGCAGGACATGGACCGAGCGGAAGAGGATCGTCCGGAACTGTGTCCGTTGGAGACGTGTTGTTGCGGTCTCTATGTTCCCCAAGGAATCAAGAGATATAATAAAAAAAATAGGGGATAAACCTGTTGAAAAGATCGGGGAGGGGTATGAACCGGACGATAGACGTAGCTATCTATTCCTATACAGAATCTTCTGTATTGTCCCGTTTATATAAAAGTGTGTGTGTGTGTGTGTAAGGCATCTCTTTCTTGCAAAACAACTGCAGCAGGAAAGTATGTTAAAAGTAGAATGTATCTATATATATTTGAAGTGAGATTGCACAGAAATGACCAGGGCAAAACTGTTATTGGAAAGATTTAAAAGTTACCTTGACGTCTAACACGATTAAGAATAATAAAAAAAAAGTGAATCTCAGAGCTTCTCCTTGTCCTTTGTCTGCATTTGACCACAATCACATCGTGCTCTATGACTACAAATATTCGTCAAAGTGGCAGCGAATAAAAGAAATAAAAGAAACCTAACGTTTCAATTACAAAACAAAAGACAAAAGAATAATTTCTCATTCTGTTATTATGGGAAAATGAATCTGCGGCAATAAATGTATATTGGAAAATCCGCAATATGGTGGGAAATCTCAGAGCACTTTAGAATAAATCTGGTTATATGCACCGCTTAATTCATATTATTTTTTCGTTTTACTAATTCAAAATAATTGATCCAACAATTCCGAAACAAAAACAAGAAGACCTGTAATTCATGTTGGCTTTATCCTAACACAATGTTCCTTCTAATATTTTTTTTTTTTCTCACTTTATATTATATATATATATATATATATATATATATATATATATATATATATATATATATATATATGTGTGTGTGTGTGTGTGTGTGTGTGTGTGTGTGTGTGTGTGTGTGTGTGTGTGTGTGTGTGTGTACGCGTCTGTCAAAATAAAATTTATACTTTGAAGAAGGAAATACTGGAAATAAATGGGAAAAGGAATATAATTATCAGCAAAAATAGAAGATGAAACAAAGGCAGAGGCAAATCTTTTAAAAATCAAGCAAAATAGGAAGTATCGAAAAGTAGAAAGAAAGAAAGAAAGAAAGAAAGAAAGAAAGAAAGAAAGAAAGAAAAATAGAAAGAAAGAAAAGATAACGATAAATGAAAAGATTATTATCCCTCAATTTCTGTAATGCAGAAAGTAATTGGCAGATGAGATCAGATGTGATGAGAGCGAAAAAGAAAGAGAGAAGACATTTGTGGAGAAGGTGGAGAACTGATGAAAAAGATGAAAAAGAATGAACTGTCATTCTGAAGTCTCCCTCATATTACACCAATCATTTTTAATCCTACTACTTCACGCCACACGAACGTCTTCTTTCATGCCATCCAGCACTTCTCAAACAAAATAATTAACTTGACAAAGATGGCACATCTGGAGATACTAAATTGTCTGTTTAAAATTTAACTCTGTAAAAAGTTGCTAAAAATGTGACACAACGGCCTTCTTCTGTCGAAAAAAAAGCAATAAACAAAACAAATAGCACTTCCGAGTGTGAACACCAAAGTACATCAGGTTTAGCAAATTAGTAAACTAATATATATATATATATATATATATATATATATATATATATATATATATATATATATATATACACACACATATAAGTATATGTACATACAGATGTACGTTTATTGCTTTACAATGTTTTTCTTTTATCCCTTGATCGATCATTTTAATTATTCAAGCTTTGCTTATTGACCCACCCACAAGCTAAGCGCTTCTCATTTATTTGAAATATAATTCTTTGACTTATTTCTGCGACTTTCACTTTCGTTTTTAACCACGTGTACACCTGCTTACCTTACAATTTATCTCATTGTCGCCAAATTTTATTCTCCCTCTCACATTGTAATTTGACACATATGCACTAATTGTCAAAATGTTTTTGCCTTTTAATTTTTCTATTCATCTTGTCAATTTTTATTTATCTACAACTTCGTATCATTCATAAGTCTTCGCAAGTTTCGTATTTTCGTTATTATTCGAATTCCTTTTCTATCATGCACTTACATAAGCTTGCTAGGTAGGTAAGGCGTTGTTTTCTTTTTTCCTCTTGCTTTCAGTATATCCAGGGGATGTCAAAGTTACCTAGTTAAGTGACCGCTTGGAAATACTAGATGCTGTAAGTTTGGATGTGCTGGTGGTGCAATGGATAATGGCTCGGAATTATAAATCGGAGAGCCGAGTTCCAATTCCCGTTGGGAACGTTATATTCACTTACGCACAAATATATTTGGGAAAGTTATAAATTCACCTTTCTCCTCCCAGCTATGTATTAATTAGTAAGCACTTGCTGGGCTTAAGTATAAGTATCGTTTTTGTTTCTATTTTCTTTAAAACTTATTTTTGCGAAAAAATTATCATAAAATCTCAGACTATATAGTAATTCTTGTTAAGTCAATATGAAAATTGAACAAAAAAACGAATAAAAACAGTTACTTATATTATTTACATTGTTCGGACTGTTGTCCTCATCTTTATTGTCATATTCACAACGTTTCGACCATTTGTACGCCTCGGCCTTTTTCTTCAGGTGATATACACTGAAATTTCGAACCAATTCTTTTATTTAGTGCCTCTTCCTATATTTCCCTTTATTAACTCAACTCTCCAAGTTCACATCTTCTGTGGCCAGATACAGAACCTTTGGCGTTATTTTCTTATACTCCTTTCCATTTTTGAGTGCTTGCTCAATTCCTTTTTTATCCGTATCCAGGCGGTTTCTTGCCAGTAATAGTTTATTATTTTAATATGCTCTCATCACATCTGATCTCATCTTCTAGTCAATTTCTGTCATACTTTATCATATGTTTTTGTGTAACGTATGAAACATCAGAGCAGGTCTTTCTGCATTTGTAATGCTTGATCTGACAGCATTCTGATCATGAAGATTGCATTTCTTGTTTCAGTGTATTTAACAGAGCCACACGGTTCTTGTTCGATATCCAGTCATAAGAATCCGTATGATAATCTTAGTTATTTTGCTCGTCAAGTTGATTGTCTGACGACGCTCACATTCATTTGCACCTTGCTTCGTGGGCAGAACTAGGAAGATGGATCTACTTAGGTATTCCTGATTGTCGCCTGTGTCATATATTTCATATATTATTTCAGTAATCTTGTTGTTCCTGTATATATAGTTACAACATTATCAACAAAATCTCTTTGAAAATCGAAAGTACTCAGATATCGAACATTTCATATTCAGTTTTACGCCGGTAACAATGAAATCGTCCGAAAAACAAACAAAGAAAAAATCCTTAGCAAAGATCGTTCGTTGGTCTTTAACCAAAGTTCTCAAGATGCGTACTACGAATTAGAGAAGTCAAAATCTAGTAAGTACGAAAATTTAGATCCTGGAAAGTGTCACAGAGAAGGGAAATGTGATACGGAAACGGGAAGGCGTATTAGATTAGTGAAAAATGTCTTTCAAAGTTAAGTATTAAGAAACAGGAAAATGTTGTTAACGGCAAAAAAATAGTACTAAACTATCTCTTCAACATTCACTGGGAATTGATTAACATCAGTCTTCAGTGAATGTTGGAGAAGAGATTTGAGGCAAAATAAATGTGACTCTACTGGAGAATGCTGAGAATAGCATGGACAGAACATATGAGTAATGTGGAAGTCCTACCAGGATTAAAAATATAAGTTACGCAGGTGACACTGTTTTGAAGCCAGTTACAGAAAGAAAACTGCAGGAACTCCTAGACAAGGCAGTAAAGGAAAGAGAAAATAAAAGACTATGTATCAACCGTAAAACAGAATATATGGTTGTTAGCAAGAGTGACAGCTCAAGATACAGGATACAAATAGGACACGTCAAAACTAAACAAGTCCAGAAATGTAATTATCTAGGAAGTGTTATACGAGACAAAGGAAGATGTGGCATACATATCCGAAGGCGCATTGGAATAACGGGAAAATTTCTTTTTAAACAAAGAAAAGATTGCTGACCTGCTATGTAATAACAGTCCTTATAAACGGTAGGGAATGCTGAACAATTTCCTCACAGATGAAGATGAGACTCTTGAGGTAACAGAGATGTGATTCTACAGAAGGACATTGGAAAGATCATGGAGGGCGCATGTAAGCAACAAGGAAAATGGAAATAAAAAAGGACACTTGTGCACAGAATCATACAGAGACATATTTTCTAGGACCATAATGAGAAAGATATATTGGAGAATTTCACACACACAGAACATACTGAAGGCAGAAGTGGCAGAGTCAAAAATCAAGTACCTTAACGAACGAGCTTGTGTATATGGATAGCAGAAGAGGGACTGGGAAGGATAGTAAGGGGATAACCATTGCTTAGAACTAAAAATGATAGAAGGTTGCAGAGAGCTACGATCACCCACGTCCTGAAGAGACACGGTTTACAAATGATGAATATATGAATGTACTGTGCTTTATAAACGTATATAGATCGTTACCTTTAATATTTATTTTCTTTCTCTCTTTCTCTGTGCCTCTGTCTCTCTTCCGTTGTATGTCTATCTGTCTGTCTGTTTCCGTCTCTATCTTCGCCCCCTTTCTCCTTCTTTCTAAATAGATCTATGAGGTACTATGGATAGGTGTGATTACTGTTGATGTCATTACATCATTGAACGACTAATAAAAAGATATTTCAAAACCGACGACAAGCAAAAAGAATTAGTAAAATTCGAATCGTCTAATGTGACAAAATAATTTCAGTCTTTTATTTGATTACAGCAATTTTTTTCGTGCTATAGTGAAAAGGTTTTCGCTTTAGTCAACTTTTAGTTTCCTTTTCAATGCGTTCTTCTTGTATCATTATCACTTGCACTTTCACTTTATTTCTTATTTAACATTTTTTTTTACCTTTTTTGGTTATGTTGTTTACTTATTTCTTTCTTATCCTTTTGCTTTCTGTTTTTTTACGATTTTTCTTTATCAGTTTCTTTGTTTCTTTCTTGGTCATACATATGTTTATTCTTTTTTTCTTATTCTTTGATTTTCTTTGCTTTTTCTTCTTCGTTAGTGTTATATTTTTCTTTTATGTTAGTTTTCCCTTTGTCCTTAATACAATTCGCTTTTTATAAACGCGTTTTCTTTTTTCCATTACGTGTCGTAATTTCATTTCTTCTCTGTGAACATTTTCCTTTCCTTTTCTTGCCACCATTTCTTCTTTCTTTCTTATTTTTTCTTTTTCTTTCTTCCCGTTATTATTTCTGTTTATTTTTTCTTATACACTTTTCTTTTCAACAAATCAGCTTGACCCTATTTTCTTACTCAATTTAATTGCTTACAAAACACAATTTTTCCTGTCCAACCAGCCGAATTGATTTTTTGTCTTGTACTTACAGTAGTCATATTTTACATATTTTGTTCGTTAAGAACTTATAGCATTTATCTCGCCCCTGAACTATGAAGACACATAAAATCCATTCATAGTTTTTATAAATGAAAAGTTCGCTCTTGCATGAAAACCTTGACAAAATCCATGAAAAAAGTAACGCTTGACGCTCAGAGTAAGACTGATTATGACAACAATAAACAAATTTAACAAATAGAAGCAAATCACTAAATCAAAAAGCCAAAAATAACAAGAAAAACAAATAAATTGCAAACTAAACGACATATGTACGTGCACGGTTGCGTAGAGGATAATTAAAGAGAGAAACAGACGCCGGCAGCATTAAAACATCAGAATAAATTATAATAAATCTTAAGATAAACTAGACAAAAACACAAAGCACATACAAAAAAGGATCAAAGAGTCGTTGATATAATGAAATATAGTTTATAAATTTCAAAGTGATGCTCAGAATTCTTAAAAAAAATTTTTTTCTGTTTAATATATCCATATTCACTAATTTTATACGTTATGACGTCATTGAAATAAAAATTAAACTATTTTTATTATTTTTTTTTAAAACTAACAGCTATAAAGAACATGAATTGTGAAACGGTAAGCCGAGTGTTATATGTTCAAAAGAATATAAAAAAATTATTATGAAGCATACTTGCATATATTTTTCAAAAGACAGACAACAGTTTCCATTATCGCTATCTAAGACGACAAAAGGCTTGGACATCAAATTAGATTCATTCAAATTAAGACTCTGATGGCTTGGCTATCATTATTATTGCGATTGGGAGCCGCACAAAATGAAAGAATTTAGCATTGTTAAAGGAAAAGTTGAAACTGAAAATTCAGAACACAAGAAGCTTCAAAAGGATGAAAATAAAGTGTAATTGCCGGTCCTAATCAAAAACATCAACATAAATTGTCACTTCTGAGTTTAACAAGTGAAAGGTAAAATACAATGTTTAGCTTGGAATGGAATAAGATTTAAAGATGGAATAACAAACCTAAATTGATACATTTTAGGAATCTATAACATAGACAGCAGTCAATATTGAAATTGACAGCTATAAGGATTTCAATGAATAAAATTGTAGTATCGTTTCAATATCAACTTACTACTGATACATTACATTGAGATCTACATAAATATTCAGATACCATGGATTAATCTTGATCTTAGGTACACAATAATTACGGTAATTATTTACATTCGGGTCAATGTCACCATATTTGCTGTTATCATCACAACGTTTTCACCATTGTGCCCTTTGGTTATCTTCAGATGTCTGCCGATCTGAGTAAACTTTAGGAAATTTCGAACTTTATTTAATCTAGAAGAGTATATTGTTTTTTTTTTTCCACTTTCTAAATAAATTGTTCAGTTCGGAATTCCCTGAAGTTTACCCGAATTGACAGAGACCTGACGAACTCCGGAAACACAACGGCTGAAATGTTGTAAAAATAACAGCAAATATAAAGACATTTGTTCGAATGTAAATAATGATAACGCCTCATCGCAGAAATTCAGACTTCTTCTTCTTTTTCCTATGTACCATATTTCTTCAGGACGTGGGCAATCATGGCTCTCCACAATTTTTTATCCATTGTAGCTCTTAATGAATTGTGTATTTTCACTGATCTCTGTTCTTCTAACCATTTACACAATGCCATTAGGTTGGTTAAGCACTGCTATCCTTCGTCCCTCTTGCCTTAAATATGTCCTGTCAGTGTCAAATTTTATAAGCCTTCTTTCCACATTAAGTGCCGTAGAAATTCCAACTGTGTCTTTCTAATGTTAAGAGTAAGTGTCCTTTTTGTTTCCATTTTCTCTAAACTTTCATCGTTGCTCAGGTGTTCAGTTCATGATATTCTCAGCATCCTGCTGTAGAACTGCATTTGTGTTGCTTCAGGTCTCTTCTTCATCTGTGATGAGATTGTCTAGCATTCACTGCCATATAGGAGGACCGATATTACATAACATTTAAATACACTTTGCTTTGTTTTTAACGTGATTTTCCGGTTTTTTAAAAATTAATTGCTTCCCTAAATGATTATTACAACATCTTGGATTGTTTCAAAAACTGTTATTTTGAAGGCATTTATATTTTTGGGACACCAAAATAGAATTTAATTTGTTCTTGAATTTGAAACTGTCATGCAATATACCAAATATCTAAAATTATTTTTCCTCTATGCAAAGTAACCAAACATAAAAATATATTCTAGATATGCGTAATGGTTAATGTCTACTTGACACTTGAAGGCACGTTTAGAAAATGATATTTCATTTGTAATTTCCATGACCACAGATTTATCCAAATTTTCAAAGTGTCTTTTTTGCTACTGCATGTAAAGTAATTTACATTTAAATATCTGAGTAGTGTTTTAACTGATGATGGAAAATGTAACACCAACATCCGAAAGACCCTTGGTTTAGTGAGCGATACTTTTCATGTATTAAGAAACAGAAAAAATTATTAGTAATAAAGAAAAACGTGCTGAACTGCTATGTAATATCAGTCCTCTTATATGGTAGTAAATGCTGGACAATTTCCTCACAGAGGAGACATGTGGGACGTGGTTCTACAGAGAGATACTGAGAATAACATAGACAGGGCATGCGAGCAACGGGAAAGTTATAAAAAAATGGAAACAAAAAGAACCTTTATAGATAGAATCAAAAAGAGAGAGTTGAAATTTCTAGAACACATAATGAGGAAAGAGGTTTTTGGAGAATTTGACACACACAGGATATATTGAAGGCAAGAGAGAGGAAAATATTGAGTAATCTATATAACGAGTTTGTGTTAGAATAGAGAATGGGAAGAATAAACATTGTTAAGCGCTACAAAAATATAGAAAGATTTGGAAAGCCATTATCACACATGTCCTCCTAAAGGGACACGGTACATAAAAAAAAGATTTAAAGTATTTTCAATCATTTAGCTTTCTAATAATCCTAATAAAATTATAAACTATTTCGACTGTCTTACGAAGTTTTTAATTATCTCGGAGTTATTGGATTCAATCAACTTTATGAAGCTGGATCAATGCAAAACGATATAAAAATGATATAAAAAAAGATATAAAAATGTATAACCGACAAGTGTTCCTATATTGATATTTACGAAATTTAATCTGGTAAGATTAAATAAAAGGAAGAATAATATGTCGCCCGCAATCTTCCACGTGCAGAGTGAAAAGTTACTTATATTTGTTGGTCGCCACGATTATTGGAATAGAACTCTCTAACAACATAGTTCAAGCTTTATTAAAAGTTACACACATCTGGTTTTCTGCCAATTTCCGGTAAATATCGATTGTAGCATCGAAATAGGCCTTGACTGCTTTAGCGCGAATATGCTCCTTATTCAAAGGCTTTACATAATACAACAAATATAATATCTGATTTATTCGAACTGTTGTACTCATTTGTTGTTGTTGTTGTTTTTGTTGTTGTTGTTGTTATTATAGTGACACTGTTATATTTGTTGTACCTTCCGGTCTTCTTCAGTTATCTGTTGTATGCAGTAATGTTTTTTGAATTTCCAACATAACCCTTTATTCAATCTGCTGTAAGAGATGTTCTCACTGTAGACAGCGGAACTGGCGTTGTGACTATAAGGATAAAGACGGCGACGCCGGTTTTTATTAAAAACAGAAAGTCAGGCAAGTGTTTCCATTATTAATATGTGAAGATCAAAAAGATGGAGTATGACGATTATCTTGCTTCGAAAACTCTCAATTTTGACATCTTCGAAAATATGCAACTACTTCAACCACAAAAGACCACAATTTTTTCCTTAGGCATCCATTGCTACAAGCACCTATTTATCAGGTACTTCTGTTAAATCTTAATGTGTGCGCGTGTACATAATCAAGACATTTTATTTCAGTGCATATAGCTATAGATGTGTGTGAGCAAATTTATATATATATATAATATATATATATATAGTTTGTGTTCCATGAAAACTATGTCGCATTTAGGGCGCATCTATGAACTGACAATGGCCCGTCTAAGTTATCTGTTATCAATATAAGTCTTTTAGTTTGTGTATATGTGTGTGTGTGTGAGAGAGAGAGAGAGAGAGAGAGAGAGAGACTGAGACTGAGACTGAGACTGACTGACTGACTGACTGACTGAGACTGTCCCAGATTACATTTTTGTAAGGAGAAAATATTTTGGTGGGTGGGGGAGAGGTCAGGGTTTAATCGCAAATTGTTCTTTATTTCTGCGCCGCTTGTAACTCTTTATTGACATTTTCTGCTCCAGCCAAACATTTTTGTCAGTTTTGTTTTTTATGACGAGACTTTAAGACAAGCGAAAGCAAAGAAAGCGAGAAGCTGTGTCTATAATCATGACAAAACAAATTCCCATTCTTTTCTTTTCTTCTCTATTTATTTTTTCATATTATGATTTATCTCCGTACATTTTAGCCTTTGCTTGAAACTCACACTTACCAATTTAGGACAGCAAACAGCAAAATGACACTTAATAGTAAACTTTTACGAAAAGCAAAAACTTTTTCTGAAATAAGTTAAAAAAAAAACTCTTAATTGTCACTCGTTTACAAATATAACTTCGACCTTTTTCGACTAATCTTTGTCTATTGACAAAGACAAAGAGATAGAGACTTGTTCATACACTTTCTCTTTTCTTCTTTCTTTCTCTCTCTTCCACTCACTCTTTCTATTTTTTCCTATATTTTCTCACTCCCTACTTTTTACTATGCGATAATGTGGAGAAGTCTAAATACTGTCAATAAAGACTTTTTTTGTAATTCTAATTTCTGTGTAAGTCAAATAAAAATTGTTCTCAGCGATCTTAAAGAATTTCATATTTTTACTTAACCGTTAAACTGAGGATTTATTTAACATTAATACATGAACAAGCACGCCAAAAGGGAAAAAAAAACAAGAAAATTCA